CACGGGTCATGGTCCGGGTCATGGTGTGCAGGAGCTTAGACCATACCACCCAGAACACGCCTGATCTTGGAAGCTAAGCAGGGCTGGGCCTGGTTTGTGCTTGGATGGGAGACTACCTGGGAGTACCAGGTGCCATATGCTTTAGTGGGTGACTGGTCTGGAGGTAGGGCAGCCCATTTGGGACTGGAAAGTCGCAAGTTCAACTCCTGACCACGCAAGCTTCATGCCTTGAGCAAGACTTCCTTTCCCTGACTGCGCACGGCTCCTCCTGGGTATATTGCATGAGCGATCTCGATATGTTGATATGCTGCCAACGATTCGATTCATGAGCAGCAAAATCAGTACGATATACTTAAATATTAGTACGAGTCAACACATTAAGATAAATACGACAAAGTTATTATTATTATTATTGTTATTATTATTATTATTAATATTATTGGGACTTATTCATTAATTCAATCTTTATTTAGACAGGTAAATCCCATTGAGCCTCGAGGACTCATTTACAAGAGAGACCTGATTTAACAAAGAATGATGACAACAATAAACAGTTATAAAAAGTCATACAGATTTTTTTTTTTTTTTTTAATACAAATAGGATGGCAAAAAGAGTAACAAAAACAGCTAGATTCTAAGCCGAATGTAGAAAACTAAAAACAGGAACATGTCTGCATTGGTCCCTGCCAGGAGTCCAACAGATTCTTAAAGCCACTTAGAGAGGTCAAAGGTCGAGAGCTTCAAATCTTTTTACAAGATATTCCAGGAAACAGGAGCGGAGTAGGAGAAGGCCCTTTTGTCTAGTTCAATCCTCATTGAGGGAACACTGCAGGTAATGATGTCCTGAGAGCGCACGCTGTAGCTGCACTCACGCAGAGACATGTAGGAGGAGATGTATGAAGGCAGCAGACCAGGAAGTGATTTAAAGATGAAAATGTACCAGTGAGAGAGTCTGCGTGAAGTTAATGATGTCCAGTTAACCAGAGAATACTGGGTGCAGTGGTGGGTACGATAATCACATGCAGTTATGAATCTTAGTGCACCATGATAGACAGCATCCAACATCTGCAGGGTTCTTGTAGGAGCGTTCATGTAAATAATATCACCAAAATCAATTGAGGGAAGGAAAGTCACAGATACAAGGTGTTCCTAACATTCAGGGTTAGACAGGATCTGTTTCTGAAAAAGAAACCCAGTTTAACTTTCAGTTTCTTTACCAAGTTTTCCACATGAAGCTTAAAAGAGAGATGTGAGTCGACCAAGACACCCAAATATTTAAAGGAATCAATAAACTCAATGGGGACACCATTTGAGGATAAAATCGGAGGAAGAACTGCTGGGACCGACTTCCATTTAGAAAAAGGCATCCCTTTGGTTTTGTCGGCATTTAGGACAAGTTTGAGGCGAAACAAATCTGTCTGGATGTAGTTGAATGCAGATTTCAAAAGCTGGAAAGCCTTAGCAACTGTTTTAGTTCGACAATAAACAACTATGTCATCAGCATAAAAATGTAAGGATGTGTCGAGGATGCTCTGACCTACATTACCTATGTAGATTGTAAATAGGGTGGGTCCTAAGACTGAGCCTTGTGGTACACCATTGTTGACTGTTAAATAACTGGAGGAAGTACCATTATGTTGAACACATTGCCTCCAGTCTGAAAGATAGTTAGAGAACCAACCAATGGTGTGTTCTGAGAAACCAATTTCTGAGAGTTTATGACACAAGATGTTATGATCCACAGTGTCAAAATCTTTAGACAGGTCTAAGAAAAGTGCAGCACAATAATCCTTAGCATCCAGTGCTTCAACAACATCATTAAGAACCTTCAGTGAAGCAGTGGTTGTGCTGTGTTGTTTCCTGAAACCAGATTGATGTGGAGGTAAGATGTTAAATGAGTCCAGGTAATTTTTGATTTGAGAGTTTATCAGTTTTTCTAGAACCTTGGCTAAAATGCAGAGTTTAGAGATTGGTCGATAGTTGTTCAGTGAGGTGGGGTCACCTCCCTTCAGCAAAGAAGAACAAAGGCTGTTTTCCAAGTGTCTGGGATGGAGTTTTGTCTTATGGAGAGATTGAAGATGTGGGTCACAGGGACTGTGATGATATGAGCAGCCAGCCTTAAGAAATAAGGTGGAAGTTCATCAGGACCTGCAGATTTTTTAGGGTCAAGATCTTTTAACAGTTTATTGACCTCACTGACTGAGAATGGAGAAAAAGAGAAGCTGTGATTAACTGAGGATAGACTTGTAGGAGGGATTTGATTTGTAGAAGTTTGGTTATTAAGTGAAGTGGCTGATCTTCCATTAGTAACTGTGTCAAATAAAGAATCAGAAGCAACAAAATGTTTGTTGAAACAGTTCAGGATCTCGTGCTTATTTGACACAGGAACAGAGTTAACGAGAAGTTGTGATGTGAGGTCAGATGATTGGGGGGTGCCTGAGAGAGATTTGATGGTTTTCCAGAATCTGTTAGGGTCATTTAGATTTTTGGAGGTCTGAGATAAGAAATAGTTGCGTTTTGCAGCTTTGATGGCAGTTGTGCATTTATTCCTCATCTGTCGAAAACTCAACCAATCAGTGTCTGAGTCAGATTTTCTCGCTGCGGCCCAAAGATGATCGCTCCTGTGTAGGAGGTCAGCTAGCTCTGGAGTAAACCAGGGGCTGTCTCGTCCCTTTATTCTGAACTGACGAAAAGGAGCATGTTTGTTCACAACATAAATGAAACTATTATGAAAATAGTTCCAAGCGGAGTTCACGTTGTCAGTTAACAGAATACAATGCCAGTCAAAGTGAGATAGATCCCAGAGGAATGACTGTTCACAAAAACGTTTCAAATCCCTTTTTTGTAAATGGTAAATGGACTGTACTTATATAGCGCCTTTCTATCTTATTTCAAGATACTCAAAGCGCTTTACACAACAATCTGTGTCCTCATTTACCCATTCATACCGCACTCTACTAGATCTCTACAAAGCTAATTGAACAAATCATTCTAAAGAGACTAATCAGAGCTTTATCACATTCATACACCGATGGGACACACATCAGAGGCTATGAGGGGTTCAGTGTCTTGCCCAGGGACACTTCGAAATGTGACTGCTGGTGGATTCAAACCCCCAACTCTCGCATTGGAGGACGACTGCTCTAACCACTCAGCCACAGCCGCCCAAATTGTATTAATTTGGGCTTAGAAGGTGGAAGTTTAATGTTTCTGAGAGCCGCTATTACACAATTATCACTTAAAATGTCAGTGAATAAACCTGTACCAGGGAATTTGTGGGGCATATTAGTTAGAAACAGGTCTAAGATGGAAGATTTTTCAGGATTTTTTGTTTTCTCTAGTAGGAGAGTCAATGAGTTGGGTTAGTTCTATTTCGTATATGCTTCGCCCTTTAAGGCTATCGCTAGTGGGTTTATCCTTTCGCGCGCAGCACTGAAACCTCAAGTCCACGCCCACCTGCTGTGTGGGCCTCACCCCTGGTCCGTATAAATTACGGTGAGACCGGGTAATCGGCTCCCATTTTTTCTTCAGCCAGCTAGCTAGCACTGTCAGAAGAATGAAGAAGGAAAAGTTGTCCAGCTTTGACTGGCACAACCTTTGCTAAGGATGCCTGGGTCTCCGCCACGCCAACCTCCTGCCGTCCCGGTGAGCTCTTCCTCCCCGAGGAGAAGCAGAGACGAGCAGCCTTGTTCAAGGTAAGCGCTGAGGAGTGCTTTTCCATGGCGGGCCGCTACTCGCTGGACGATGCCACTGCCTTTTCTAATGTGTTTTCCTCATGGTGAATCAGAGGATTCCCTTGAAAAATGCAATGCAGACAACAGATCCGCTGAGTGTTTTTTTTCCATGGCAGGACGCTATGCGCGGGACGATGCCACAGCCTTTCTTTGACGCAGAGTCACGCAGTGAATCGGATGACTCCTCCGAGAAAGGTGATGCTAGAAACAACCTCGCTGCCCCTTCCCTCCTGGAGAGCGTAGTGACGAAAAAAGAGCGGTCGAATGGATGCTCAGTCACCTCGGGTCTTCCCATGTCGGCGACCACACCTCTCCCAGCTGTCGGCGCCCTCTTCTCAGAGTTGCCCGTCATAATCCAGGAGGCTTCCAACACAAGGGACTTTCTGTCCCTCGCCTTCCTCTGCCCTGATCGGATGATCTGGCGGGAAGGTTTGGCTCCACCCCGGCTCGTCGCCCTGATCCCATCTGGCCTTGCTGTCCAGCTGTGACGTCACATTGGAACGAGGCTGCAGC